CGTTGTCGATTTATGGCATCGAGATCTTCCTCCGCAGTCATATATTCGACATCGGCAGAATCGTCGTTAGCGAGAGCTCTTGATTCTTCTACGACTTCTTCTGAGAAGGCGCGCGCGGTTTCTACGTAGCCGTCGTGTGCGAGGTATTGGGAGACGAGTTCGTGGACGAGGGCGGTTTCATCTCGCGTGACCTTGTCTTTGTCTGTGATGCTCACTCTTACTTTGGATATTTCGGCCTGTATTGATTCCTTCTCAGCCTGGCAAGGGGGGGTTAGTGGCTGATCTAGACGAAGGGGATGGATCTTGTCTACCTGGACCATTTTGTCGATATCGAAAGCGAAGGGTTCCTGGCCAAAATTGGCTCTGAGAGTCTCCTGTGGTTTCTTCATGCCGACTGTTGGATAATACAGCCGATCTGTCTTCAGATCCTTGAAAGCATTGCCTATTGGAGTCAGTGAACGCCGCATCTCAGAACGTGCAACACTTGCCAATAAAAACGCCATTCTTAGTAAAGAATGCCGTGCCGGTCCGGAAATTTATACCACAGCCAATAACGTCCAACGTTCCAAACTTGGGCCCGAAAGGCTTCCCGGAGGTTGTATTGCTGAAGGACTGTCCATCATCACCGTGATATGCATATGACTCCGGCTCCCATCCCGGTATCCTGCTGAGGGGAACTTTGGGGCCTGAAAATCCGACACCAATCATTCTGCTCAAAGGATTGTCAGCGTGCAGCTTGAAGTTAAGAAAAGGGTATCCTACCCATCTTTGCCCTTGGTCACCACCGTGACCTCATAATAATATATGCCACATTGCCGTGGCATGGGGAAGTCTGCACGCACCGAAGCAGCCTCATCGTGCGACTTCTGCGTGCCAGAGAACTTAGCATTCCGCCCATCCTCGAGCACCTCCAACTGCGCGTATTTGTCCGTGTCGCTCCACCTCGTCGGCCACGGCGCGATTGGCTCGTCCACTTGCACGGGTGCCCTTTCGATGATATCATGCGTCATGCCGCGATGCGAGGGGACCATCTTATGGAGATTGACGCTGCTGGAACTTGTCGATAACGATCCTGCGTTTGACGAGTGATTTGACCTGTATTCCCGCTGCGCCGCCATCTTCGCCCGATGCGCCTCCTCCAGCTTCTCTGCATATTTCGATCCCCGCAGGTACGACGGCACAAAGAAAGACGACGACGCCAATCCGTCCTGACCCGCACCCCCAAACCCATTCAGATAGCCAAACTGACTCGAATACGACGGCAACGGCGCGGCGCGGCCCCACGATGTAGACATGCTATTGTAATGGCCGTCGGCGTCGATAGTTCGGGATTGGTGTCGCGGGTGATTTATCGACGAGTGTGCTGCTTGCGGGCCGGAGTTGGAGTTGGTATTCACCAGGTGGGAGAAGGCACCGGACCGCGTTGGAGCAAAGGCCTGTGACTGGCTACTGCCGGCAGCGCTTCCCGCGGCTACCGAAGCGTATGACGACCGCCGGAACATGACTGTGGTTACAGTGGTGGGCGCTGGAGCTGCCGTGGCCGGGCCGAGAGGACGAGCGGCTTTGGATGTCTGGACGAGCGAAAAGAACGGCCCGGCGTACGATCACGCTAGACAGAGGGTGTGGGAAGAATGAGAGAGGCGGCAAGTAAGCAGCCCTTGGGTCCAGAGAGTGTTGGAGCGTGGAAAGCGCCAGTTGGAGGACGTGTCGGGATGGTGGTCGTCGATGGACTATGTATGCTTCGTTGCTGGGTGACGTCGGTAGGACTCCTGTTCAACGAATGTGGCACACGTTTCCCTGTGCCGTCTCCGCAAATACATACATTGTTTGGAGCTTTAAGGGAGGCTGGGGGGCGGGGAGCTAGGGCCCGCTGGGTGGTTGAGGGCGTGTCAATGAAGTTGCAGGAACATGGAAGACGTGCTGTCGATGGTTGCCGAAGCGGCGGACCTCGCTCCCCGCATTTGGCCTGCAGTAAAGCGATAACGACATCTAGCACCGCGCGAACTCTACTTTTCATAGGGGAATAAGCATGCGAGAAATAACCACGAAATCTCGTTTTCTAGAACTGGCTGTTATACAAATACATCGTGATTGATCTGCCTGCTATGCGCCGGCATATCCCTGACCCATCCATCCTCCAAGTTCCGGCCTACCAGCAGTCACGCGCCAGATCGAAACGAAGCCAGCCACTCCCTCCGCCAATGCAAACACCATATTGAGAAATCCCGTTTGGCTCTAGAATGCCCCATGATGTCCCAAACGCCAGACATGCTCAAAGAAATGAAAATAGAAAAACACGACCGAGAAGTGAAATCCAAGACAAGGGGCGCCCGTTTGGCAAGTCAGCCGATGCAACTTCGTGGGTAAAGATGCTACGCGTTGGGCCGCGCAGATATCGATGTAGTATAGATAGGTCTCATAGGGGAGCTTAACGCCACGTCGGTACTCGTGGAATCATTCTTTAGAGTCAGAACCGGGTTCTAACGAGATTGGCTCTGGGTAAGGAGTGGATAAGACTAATTGGAGAAGGTAAAGGCGCTTCGAGAGAGGTGTGTCAGTGTGTCGGTGTGTCGGTGTGGCGGTGTGACGGTGTGGCGGTGAGTGTCAATGCTTGAGAAGGCATCGGAAGCAGCTATACTATGTAGAATAGTGGAAGCACGCCTACGAAGCGGCAGCGACAGGAGGGGGTGAGCTCATTAAGCCGTTGACCGGCGGCGGAGCCATGGGCGTAGCATCGCCATCGACATTGCTAGTGCTCTTCTCGCTGATTGCGCTACTCTCGTCCTTGACCTTGCTGTCGCTTGATCCTGTCGTGTCGCTCTTGACGTCTTCGGCAAAGACAGCAGATCGCTTGGGTGCTCGCCAGCTGGGGACCGTCCAATGGACACCAGTAAAGCTTTTGACTGAGAACACCTTCTTCTCCCACTTCCTGCAAGGTTTTCCAGTCCGGTCGAGGGCACGGAGACCCGCGTTGATGGCGCCTTGGTTGGCCTTTGGGCCGAGCTTCTGGGCAGGTGCGGAAGCGGCGAAGGGGCCTTTGGCGAGTGGGTCGTTGATCATATCGCCTCTGTGATCAAGTTAGCATTCGGCCGGTGGTGGATTGGAGGATTTGGCGGGGTGTGGGGTATGTACTGCAGAAGAAGGGGGAGGGGAAGAGATAGGACCGACGAGCAAGCAAACAGGGGGATTGTTGAAAAGTGGGTAATGCCACGAGACATTGCTCCTAACGACAAGACGGCGCTGGCACTTACAGTTTCTGTTTCTTTTTCGGGCCTGGCTTGCCTCGCGGGCGAGGGAGGCCATCTGGAGTGAGGGCTGCCGCACCCCTCTTGGTCCCTGGCTTTGGGCCGGGGATCCCTTTTCGCTTGGACCCGGCAGCTGGCGGTGCCAGCGTGCTCGATGGTGTGCTCGAGCCGTTGACGACGGGCGTGGCAGCGGACTCGGACGGGTTCTCGGAGGGCGTCGGTGGCTCGACGGCGGCCGGAATGGGTGTTTCCGATGAGGAAGTCGACTTTGAGCGCGACTGTGATGGCTTTCGTGATGAGACTGGCTCATGGGGGAAACTCAGCAGGCTGTCCGGAGACAGCTTGAGGATGACTGTCTTGGTCTTTGGCGTGGGAGCCGGCATTTTGGCAGATGTCGCAGCGGGCGACGATGATGGTGTTGCGGGAAAAGGCGCTCTGCGATGGCGGAGTGTTGGGTTGATGGCGTGGTTCGTGGTTCGTGGGCGGGCCCAGGGATTTTATTGTCAGTCAGCGTTGCGTATTGTCGGCGCGCCTGCCCAAGGTCTTGTGGCTGGGCCAACGGCAAACGTGGAGGTTAAGGGGCCGCGGCCGTGATGGCAGTCTCGTGCATGGGCTCGCGATGGGTGATGGCGATGGCGATGGCGATGGGGAGTGGAGCGAAGGGGAGAAGGACGGGTAGCAAGGCGGATGAAAGAGTCGGGGGGATGAGCCTGGGGCGTGGTGGTGCATGATGTTCTAAGAAGGGTTCCGGTTCATTTGCGGCGCTGGCTCAGGGCTTGATCGCTAACTTCCAGAATCCGCGAAGTCGACAAAACTCGCGCCAAGCCGCTAACCCCGAACGGATCTCTCTCCAGATGGCCCTCTCGAGCAGTGCTGTGAACGGAGTTCTTCATTTTTATTTCTGCTCGCTGCGTGCATCGCTGTTCTGCAGTGTCTGCGCATCGCTGGGGTGCGCTGCTCTGGTCGTCCGTGTCGCACTGCTTGGTGGGCTAATCAGAAGCTAAGCGCAGGGCATTGTTTGGGCCATCTTGATTCTCCTCACTCCGCTCAGCTTCCTGCCTCGCCCATCCCTCTCCCAGCTCCCTTGCATCAAACCCCCCCAACGCGCCCCAAATGAACAAAGAAACGCGCACCGCCAGTCCATGCCTCCGCCTGCATGTCGCTCGCTTTGTCCTGTCCGCTGCACGCGCGCTTTGCTTTGTTGCGGACCATGTCGACTGTGTTGGGAGCCTGCGAGCAGAGCCATGACCTGGCCTGGTGCGCGTCTGCGACATTTTGGAGGCGGTCACCCTCGCACACGAACCGTGATCCCGTCCGCGCATCACAGCCCGCACAACCCGCAATCACCCTTCCACCATGTCACCGCACCGCTGCTCTGCCAGATTGCTGCCTTCGCTGCGAAGCTGGACATGCCGGTATCGACGGTCCAACCTCAGCCCCTTTCCAGACCTTCCGCTGTTGATGCTGCACGTCCAGTCCAGGCCTGCTCAACTCGGGTTTCGGGGATCTAGATTTTCGAGGGTGTTCCTGCAGATCCTCGTCCGTTTCAGGCTAGCTGCACGTGACTCGGCCCATTCAATTCATCTCCCGATTTCAGTCCATGTTGTCGCCATAAAGACCGAAGCCTATCACTCTCGATCAAGCTGCCTTAAAACCTGCTGCCTCGCGTTGGTGAAAGACGCTGAGGGATCGACTCTAGCAAAGATGACAAGATGACAGAAGCTAGCTACGTGTCAACCGTGCTCATCCGCTGCGTTCCGACTCCTGATACAGCAGGTGCCTCCCTGAAAACCTTTATTGCCTCTCGTTGATGTCTTTCATCCAGCATTAACGGTAGATTGCGAATGGCGGAGCTGATATCCACTAGAAAGGACGTTAATCGAGCTCAAGGCAATTCTCCCAGGTTGGAGCCTTCCAGATTTAGAACTCGGCAGTGTAGGTTGTTTTGTCATCCATCCCTCGTTCCTCCCCTAATGGCCCTTCGGCACCTCCCCTTACGCGTCCTCTGGCGGACCTCGAAAACGAGAGAGAATAGCAACTCCCTTCTTCCGAATTTCGCTAAGTCGTGCGAGGTAAGGATTCCTTGCAAGGCTCCTCCCGCCTTCGTTCATGCAATAAGCTCGGTCCTACAATGCCGCAATGCCTAAAAATCTTGGGAATTGATCTTTTGAAAGCTACTGTCGTTGCCTACTTGCCGTCCCAAATCCAGCTTGGATCTGAGCTAGATGTCGACGGGGAGTGGCGATAATCGGGGCCACCCCATCGCAGGGCGAGTGGGAAGTTAGACGCGAGGATAGAAGATTGAGTTTTTCACTGGGAACTGGTGAGGAATCTTCCACCCGCGAAAGCCCTGATTATTACAGAACACCTACAAGCCGTTGTGCTCAATACACTGCAATTGCGACGTCCACATTCACACGTCTCTAACCCATCTACTTTTTCACAGCCCTAACATCCATGCTCATACCCGCAGGGCCAAGGTCTATAGTATCGCTTTAAACACCCAGATCCACATTTTGTTCTAGGCAAGCATAGCAGAGACATTCTCGCCCGCCCTACCTGCATTGCATTCAATCCATCAACCTACTCCTTCTGACAGCCGGGGGGAAAAAAAAACAATGCCGAACACAATGGGAATGCTCTGGAACCACGATACCTCTCTAGGTATGTACATTGTGATGCTGTCATGGTGGTGAGATATCCGTTCTCGCTCTGGCGGATGCGGCCCTGTAGCTTCTTGATGGGATGGGGGCCTTGGAATATATCACACCATCCATCCAGACATCCATCCAACCAAATGAACTTACCGAAGTGAACTCGGGAACACTTAGCGGCACAGCACGGCACAGCACAACATAACACAGTCGTGCACGCATCGAAAGCCGCGCTAATGTCCAGACTTCCAACGCCGCACTGCATCCAACCATTTGGACTCCAAACTCTAGGTCTGACTCGACGCAGTATACACATCTACAACCCCGGTACGTGCCAAACGCCCCCACAACGCTGCAAGCGTTCCCAGATACAATCCCGTAGCCTTCAGCTTTCATCAAGATGATACAGTTCAAAGAACCAAGAACCAACCGCATTCCCTGGCGGGCGAGCAATTCCGCCACCGCTGAGAAGAAGCAAAACATTGCTAACCCCTACCTCCACATTCCCATCCATAGAAAGATACCTTAGACAAATCCGTGTGTCGTGCGCATCATTCGACATCATACTATACGGGTTGCATAGTCACCCGCATCCAAAACCATCAATCTACTGCATTAGGTAGGAAGATGGGAAACCTCGTTGATTACAGTCATGTTCTGGATTGTGGTTAGAAGTCTAGATGGCTCTGGTGGAAGTGGCGGTGGGGGTGGAGCTAGGTTGGAGGCGGGATGAGTGGGCAAGGCGAGCGCGCAAGCAAGCGGGAGAGAGAGAGATAAGCGAGCGAGTGGGCGAGAGGAAAGGGAGCTGGGATAATAGTGGCAGAAGGAGAAGTAGAAACAGAAGTAACCTTGTATTGTGTCTGTCCGCCTTCTAGCTTGATAGAATAAGATAGGATTGAGATATAAGTCGACTATAGTCTGTCTATCTTCTGCTGTCGAGGTGAGGTGAGATAGCGGCTTCTCTCTCACTTTCTCGTGGGCCTCTCGAACCATCCCACGCACTGAAAATCAAATTATACCCAGCCCGAACGACTATCAGATAAGATACCAAACGCCCCGCAACATTTATTTCCTCCATACCCAGCATCCGGTAAACGCCAACCAACAATCCCTTTCCATATACTCCGGTAAAGGAAACTCATGGTGACCAGCAACAAGCGAGTTGATCCAGTCCGGCGAGAGAAAAGAGAATGTGCGCACCGACGAGAAGGAAAGGTCTGGTCTGATCTAAAGGATCGATTAAAGCGAGCACTTTTGGCTCAACAATTTGTTCAGAGAATAGAGAGCGAGCGAGACGAGAGAGTTGAGGAAATAGGAAAAGGGTTAAATAAGGAAAGGGCGAGAGAGTAATTCGCCAGCAGTGGAGGTATGCATATTGTGCCAGGCAGTAGATGTAGTTGAAGCCTTTAGCACGGTGTACGACGGTTCTGAAATGGATTGCGGCAGACGTTGAAAGGCTTCTTCCTCACATCTCCGACCAATGGACATCCTCCATGTAATCCAAGTCCTGTTCATGCCGTCTCTGCTTCTTGATCTTCTTTTCGCCAGGTGCCTTCCTGCGAAGGATTGACTTCATCCTCGTCGCTAGCTTGCCGAAAGCAGCCGAATTCGACTGCTCTTCTCTTGCGTTTCCTTCCGCGTCCGCGTCTTCAGTAGTCTCACCCGATGTCGGTGGCTGGTTTTCCTTCTGCGAAGGGTCGTCTACGCGTTTGGCGGGATACCATGGCTTGGGCGGAACAAATGGGTCGGAGGCTGGCCTGGGAGATAGTTGCTCCGGTCTGAACAACTCTTCAGGCGCAGGTCTGCGACTCGGTGGCATCATTTCCCATTCTGGCTCTACTGGACTGGGATCGGTTGGGCTTTTTGGTGCTGATTGTGGCGATAATGGTGATAATAGTACTAAGGTAGAGCTATCCCAGTGAGAAGATAGGGGTCGGGGAGAAAACGCAGGTGTAGATGGCGCCGACTCAATGAAGGTACCGAATGACCTAGCTGACATTGGGGGGGACATTGGAGGGGATAACGGTGGCGAAGCCGGACCTGGCGAAACAGGTGACTTCAGACTTCCGAAGCGATGAGATCGGATGCTGCCTTTTGGCGATGTTGGGAGTGGTGTTTTTGGCATGCCATGGTTGGATAGTGGCATGAAGAATTTGCTCCGTCTCGATCCAAATGTCGAGGCTGAATTAGGAGGAGAGTTTGGAGGAGGCGATTGGGTTCCCTTACGAAAAGCATCCATTGCGGAATCAATCGATTGAATGCAGACAGTAAAGCGTCTTGAAGCAAGTATACTGAAAAGGGAGGAGAGACAGAAACAACGAGGCTAAGGGATTGACTGTGAGCGGAGGTGAGAAGCCCCTTTGAAGAGGAGCTGCTGTTTAAGTGGGGAACAATCCGAAGAGAGCAGAATATGATAAACGATGGGTGGTAAGCAGACGAAAGGAACAAAAGACTTCAGCCACGAGGAAGCAATTGAAATCCTCGAGAGACGGAGAGGTTGTGTTACCAGACACTTGCCTTGATGCCTGCAGGTGGAGTCGTTATATGAAAAGTCCGCGGTATCACTCCGTAAGCCATGCCCAGAGTGTGTACCAGTGTGCTGGGGTCGCCTGGGATTGCTTGCGGGTACTGAGAATGCAGTGGCGACGGTGGTGCCGCGAAGCTCGAGTAAAGTACTACAAAGACGTTAGCAAGCCTGTATTCGCTGGAATATGGTCTGATTTCTGAGACTGCAATCGAGGGGTCTTTGACCGATGATGGAGACGACGAGGGAACAAAGGAGTAAACGCGGGGAGTTGTAATTGGTGCGCTACGCCAGGCAACGCTGAGGCGCTTAGCTACAACATGCTCATTGGCCAACGTAAACAGCCCTCATCTGTCTTCTCGCCTTAATCTGTGGACAGCGGCTGCTAAAAGGAAGACACGGCTGTTTCCACTCTCTTCGGAGTCGGGTCATTCGCTTGTTGTTTCCTTGAATAGCTGAAGATCCCGCCCCATTGCAACAAACATGGAGGGTTGGCGTTCGTGGCTCTCATTGGCTCAACTACAAGAGGCACCCCATCCAATTAGATTGGTTTGGGCGCGTTTTGGAGCCTATCACCTAGAACAGTACCGTCAGCTCGTGGCAATAAATGCCTAGAAGCCAGAGTAGGCATCATTGTCGAACTTGGTTTTGCCTCCAAGAGGTAAGGAGCGAACGGCCGGTGTTGATAATACTGGCTTCGCCACACTATGTCTCTAGTTCCTTTAACTCTCGAGCTGACCATTGATAACCTTAAAGCAGGGTTCAGCGGTTCCCGATGCTTGTTCGAGCAGGTGACTGGTGAGTGAAATTCCTGGCTTTTGAAAAGTGGTTCGTAACTTGACTCGTAGAGGGTTCAAACCAGCTGCGCTCGTTGCGTTCCCGCGCGGTCATCTGCCAGCTTTGAGATAGTCGTTGTCATCGACCGATGTACACCTTCCCTCTGCTAGAGTGCGGCATGGAGCTGTTGTGTAACATTGTTTTTAAGCGCCACGCAATGCAGAAGTACTCCTTCAAACGAAAGGCCGCGGTCGCAAATTATCTGACCAAAACAAAATACGAAGCGAAGCGCAGTCGAGCTGCAAGTAAGATAATAAATGGAAGGATTCGCTTGCCTGAGCTTGTACACTCTTCGAGCCCATAGCTAAAGGTCAGAGGTGCTACAAGGCTCACCACAGGGCTGATGATTCAAGGTCACGAAGAGGTGGAGGCCATGGCATCGCGATTCGCCAGCGCGTCGATCCTCCGGATGCATGACAAGCGGGAGGATGCCGTGGGCGCTCTCTGTGGCTCCACCGGGCTGTGTCTGGCGCTAACATCCTTGTTTCTTCATCTGAGGCTTTGGTACTGAGGCCTGTGACGAAGAGGGCTTCGTGGCAAGCCTTGTGGTATTCGAAAAAGTGCATAGTGGAAGGCAGAGGGAGGGGTGAGAAAATAGCGCTAAGACGAAATAATTTAGTGCGATCAGATCAGGCAAGCGCGAACTACGGACTTTCTCATTCAACATATCTCTATCTTCTCCCAATTTGATCAACTTGATATCGCCCAACTTCGCCAAGGGAGATTCTAATTTTCGTACTAGCGTAGCGTATATAATTCCTTTAGATGCTTAGGCAGCATTACCTAAGTAACGACGTCGCCTTGAATCATTCAAAACTCCTCAGCCTTCTCCTATATTCTCTCCAAGATCTATCTGCTGGCATAACAGCAGGTTTAGCACTATTGAGAGTGAGAAGAACAATGCAGGCGTCAGATATTCCTACATTTGACACCATAGCATTCTATGTTGGATTGAAAAGAGCATCAGATTTTGAGTCAACGAACGCCAAGAGTAACAGATGGGATAGGCCGAACTCCCATCCCTCAACTAGACGTATTCCGGCTCTCTTCTACCAATAATTGATCTCACCGCTCTGGACCATGAAGATCCTAGCCTAATTTTTCTCAATGCATCGAGCAATGAGAATACCCTCTTTAATCTAACCACTATTCTCCAAGCATAAACCCCGACGCCGCTGGCGATACCTAGCCCAGCTCCAAGGGCTGCGGGCTCTCTTCTCCAGGTTTGATGGGTGCTAGATATTTGTGGAAGACTGATAGAATTCAGTCTAGTCAGCTCAACTACGCTAGCCGATTTTGGCAACGATTATGAGTGTAGCGAAGCTAATGTGTAACCTCATGAGAACGGCATGCTCACTTTCATCCATTCCATCACCTTTTCTCGGAAATCTGCAAACAAGCTTCATCTTCTCATAGTAAACAAGATCACTCCAGACTCAATTCATGATAATTGAAACATTCATGGCTTAAGCTGCGTTTTCCTACTATTCCTTTCTGTACCTCTCACGCCCTTTCCTGCTATTTTCCAATATGAGGGCTGTCATACCCTTTACTTTCTTGCAAGTGCCACTATCGTGGCTATCTTCCCCGGCTACCTTCTGGAACAAAACGAAAATTAGAACGAGGTGACGGCTAATACTACTAGCACCCAAAAACCAAAAGTCCTCATTTCTTCTCGCTCTTCTTCAACGATTGATACTACGAAGGTAGTTATCCACCCACCTCTGAGAGTTACGGCTTGCTATCGCATAATAATCAGAATGACCCACCTCTCTCTACCTTCTTCGACGATGATGATACTCAGGCGTACACTATAGATGACAGGCTCCTTTCCCGGGATCGTTAATTTTCATCGCTAACAGCGTGACCCAGGACAGCAAGTTCCTATGCCAGCCTACGTAAACCCTATCACCTGTGTTCTTCAATACACCAAGCAATTCCAGCTACCCCTAACGCCATTTCTGTGAGCTTTTATCATACGAGCGACAATCTCCTTAGCTTTCTTAACCCACTCCCTTATTCTTTTTCTGGCCAAGCACCGATAGTACCTCTGGGGGTTGGCTTCTCTACTCAGATTAGAGCGCCGGCCAATACTAAGTCTTTACCAAGGACGACGATCTCATTTCTCAAAGTTCCATCAACGTTAGTTACTATAAGCATGGAGAGCTTTGTGTAATCACCTACAACTACTATCCCTGATAGAAGAAGGGTCATGAGTACTATGATCAAGATAACCATTACAACCACCACGACCACCACGGCGACAATCACGATGACCACTCTGACCACCACGACAATCATGAAGACCATGATCAGCTTCTTTAGGCTTGGACCATTATGTCTACCCAGAATGCTATTGTAATCAGACTTGGAATATTTACTGCTCTAGTGTATAATTTAGGTCCCTTTAATTCTAAGTTGGCTCTTCTTATAATTCGTTTCTACGCTTCACTCAGCCCTTTATATATCATTATTTACGTAGTGGCGAAAGCCCTAACACTTATACTTATGGGAATGAATAATGAATTACTACTGAATAGGTATCCACTGTAGGCTCTAGCTTGTGTCTTCCTAAGCGGAAATACAAGTCACAATTTAGTCATTCGCCGTTAAGTCTGACCGGGGTTCACCAAACCTTTCATGATGATAAGCATCACTATCTTGTAACCTATATCACTAAAATGGCCGAGGCTCGGAAATACTCAAAATACTAGACTACTCCTATACCGCTATTTCAATACTCTCCTTCTCGCTGCGCAACTAAAAATTTAGCGGTGTTCCGGCACCGCATGGCGGTTTTCACTTCGAATTATTTGGTTTGGTGATCAGCTCCTCCCACAATTAGCTCTCTTTCTCCTACCTCTTCATCCACTCGGCGGACAATATGGCGAATCAATCAATTAGCCAGCATGAACGGGGCTTCTCATTCCACGTCAACTACTCATCGCAAGAGGTCGCGCAGCTGGCTCAGGAGATTCACGAGGAGAAAATCTCGGAGGTTCACTTATCTTTGTTTACTTTCTGGATTTGCGAGAAGGGGCACCACTACGAAGAGGCCAAACAACATATTCGAGAGTTAGCGCTAGACCAGGTGAGCTATGAGGCCATTCACTGGGTTTGACCTGATCGCAAGCTGACACATTGGCGGGAATGATAGGGCTACCCAACCAGCCGCATCTCGAACTCATTCCTGCGCAAACTACTTGAAGATACAATTCACCTTCGTCCAAGGTACGCGAAACCAGTTCCTCAAACGCCAGGTCTTCTCCAGGGAATACACACGCGCGCGGTATCTGAAGTCACATGGTCCCCTAGGACACCGCCGCAATTCTACCCTGACCCCAAGTCACCATCAGCTTCACCTAGTATAAAAGCTGTTGAGAACCCTCGCAGTGCCCCATACTTCTCGATGATGTCCATGGGAGGTATGCCTCTTCAGCGTCAGCGCCAGACATCCACGCTTGATGCGCCACCGCTATCGTCCAGCGCGATCGCCGTCACCGCTCAACCATTTATTCCTGGATCGGTTCCGACGCTGAATCCGCAGCCACGAACAAGAGCTCCAAACAGCCCTACCCCACTCAGGCGAGCTTCTCACCGAATCGGTGGAGCCCCCACACAAAACCGAGTCTCAGCAACCCGCGCAGTCTCGTCACCAGTCCCCGCTCGGCCAGGTCTACTCCATAGTCCACCATCTTTAATCCCAGAGTTTCCGCTGCCACCCACGACAGGCCCAATGGAAATGCGAGGTTCTCTCCCCTCGGCTTCCCCATGGAATGCCGAGTTTCCGCCCGACACGCCAGACCGCCCGGCTCCGCTCAATATCAGATCTCGTACAAATAGTGGTGTGGCCCAGGTGCAGAAGGATGTTCTTCCACCGTCAGTTTCCACACCCACTCCCATGCACCAGGCGCCACTATCTTCATCATCTCCGACCATGTTGAGTACTCATCCAAATGGAACTGCATCGAGCCTTTGCACCGAGGACGAGATGGGAGGTATTACGCAAGACGACGGAGCGTCGAGCTGGCGGTTGAGTACTGTCTCTAGCTTCAACTACATCATCTCCGGGTCCACTCGAACAAACACCATAGCTCCCGTTGAAGAGGACGCATCAACCTCCTTCCACAGCTCCACTGAGTTGCCTAGTGAGACCTCAACTCGCGTTGAAACTGAATCAGAAGCCGAACCCGAGATGATATCGACTCCCATTGCGAATACTAGTAGCAACATTAGCCATCAAGACTACACTGCAGTCTCGGATCCACTAGATCGATACGTCACCGTGACTCCATACGGCCGTGTGTGGGGCTTCATTCCAGGCCCGGTACCAACATCTGCTGAACGTCGCGCAGCCGTTCAAGCCCGTCGGCAGGCCCAACTCCAAGGCGCTCCTGTCTCTGGCTTACACCGTCCTCTCCCTCTACGTAGCTTCGACAATGAGAGCATTCGGGGCCACTCTTATTGGTCCTCTAGCAGCTCTGCCAACCTCAGATCTACATCAGACCCAGACCCGTCTCGAGGCCATCCGCTCCCGAGAGGTACCCTCACAGGCTTGAGCAATCGGATCGGACCTAGCATTCTCACGCGCATGGCTTCGCGACCAGTCCTTCCAGCTTCCGAAGCTCTTGCCCCGAACGCTGCGTATAGATCTGCCACGTCAGAACATATTAGAGGCTTACTCCAGCAGACCCGTGCTCGTGGTGCGCAATTGGGTTCCGTGAACCGATCTTCCTTATCTGCATTCGAGGTCGCTTGGAGGAATAGCAATGAGGCGTTGATTGTCGCGATTTATGGTCGTAGTGATGTTGTGCTGGGAAATGAGGATGTAGAGTTTGTAAGTCGCATCAATCGTGAGTTGAGGGATGGAGTTGGAAGGACCCCGGGATATGAGTGGGTGAGGGAGCTCTTTGGATAGGTACTGGCGGCGTAGAGAGGTTTGGGGAAGAGGAGGTGAAATTTTTCTTCATAAACCATGAGAAGTTGAGATTAGCCTTGACCATAAGGTATCGAGGTGGCTAATGGAGTCTTAGCGGGCAACCATGCTATATTAGCTTTTGCTATGAGATGAAAATTGTAGTAAAGCATAGCATCGGACTCAGCTAATAGTAGGTAATAAAATTCTACAAGCAAGCATGTAATATAGGCTTCTTACCAAGATAACCTCTCAAACTAAATCACTCTACTGCCATCCCTAGTCGAGCTTCGCTATTTCCACAAACTCACCTACTTCTCACTAATCCACACTACCCTTTAGTATTTCTAAGGCTGAAGAAGAAACACCGAAGCCTCTTGAAATTAGTTCGCACTTTGCATTGTAGAAAGACCGTATAAATAAATGGACCTGACACTCTTAGGAAGAACAGTATATTAGTTTTGAAGTACGTCTGGGAAGCCGGATAGGACCGAAAAAAAAAAACACAAACATATAGGGAAGCACGCCTAGCCAAAGTGGCCTATGGTTTCCTTGTAATTTTTTATATGGTATATCTTTCCCTAAATGTTTACCCTCTCTCAATCAAGCGCTGCAATTCGAAGGTCAAGATAACACACGACTTCACCAAGACACTCCCTGCCCTCCAAGAAATATTGTGCCAATGCCTTAGGAAGTAAACGTCGATACCAATTTGAGGTGCCTGCGCTTGTATATACATGGAGTCTGTATGTGGTCCCTACACGTTCGAAATTTGCATTGTGCCCAATTTGGGCGTGGGGCTTGTGTTGGAGTTGTGAGTAGCTAAGACGAGATTTGCCTTGGCTCCATTCTAGACTCGCAATGAAATAAGATACCGCCCAAGTTGTCGACATTGCCATAACCACGGTGTCGACGTCCAGCCCCTGCGTCTCCAAGATCTTCGGTGTTCATCTCAGACACCTCCTGGAAGGGCCAACGTTTGGATACCTGTTTTTGTAGATAAGTTTCCGTGGCCGGCCAAGATTAACAAGTCACACGAAAACCTCAGGGGGGTCCGCGCGACGGAAAGCAGGAAGCTTCCTAAGGACCTTCTTCAGAAATTCGGAAACCAGTGGTTCGTGAAGAAAACAAGGAGAGGGCTAAAACCGAGGTAGCAAAGCATGGTAAACCAGTTATTGCAGTTGATTATGCCTATTATGCTGCCGTAGCCCACCCGATAACATGCCATCACCTACACAGTGAATCTATGTTCGAGAATAAGTCCAAGCGAACATGACGACCATCGACTTACAACGCAGGCTCGGATCATTAAAGTTGCTAGGAAATGCCTTTGCCCTTTTGTTAAAGGGTTTAGATGATTCCTCGTAAACGGGTACAATTCATATTGTAGATTAGCTCCTTCATTGTTGACTACTCCTGTCTAATTCTAGGCTTAGCCTTGAGCAGGCTAGGGGCTTAGAGTGTGTTCTATATACTCAAATGAAAGTTGACCCTTACCCCTATAGACTGGACATGTTCCAACTGGATTGTCAGCCTTCTCGTTCCCACGAGTCCTGCATGGCCTAGAATCTAGTATAGTGTGACATTGTTCGGCCAGAGCTTCTTTATGATCCTAGCCACTACCTTCTGGTACGCACTAGCTTTCCAGCTTTGTACTGATAGCAGCGCTAATTGCGAGCTGGAGAAGATCCGTACACTGGAGGCAGGTATTGGGAAGCCTGTCTGGTCGTTGGCAGTGCATGATGGGCCCATGGCCAGTTAGCTGCTTCGATGATGGCCAGCAGCTCTGTGAGGTTGGCGTTCTCCTAGTCAGAGCTCTCTACTATTCTCGAGATGGATGTTTTGAAGATGCGTCGACGTCGACGTTTACTTGCCCTGGCCGGTAGTCATCACTAATGGCTAGCGCCTGATCTTCGTCCTCATATTCGCCACCTCACAAAGGGGGTAGTCAGTACAGGTCGGCGCCGTCACTACTCGCACCGCTCGTTTATATAACTAACTGCATGTACCTACGCCACTTATCGCCATGTAATATACTTAACTAAGTAGCTACAATTTTGTACCTAGTTAGTGCAATCAAAATATGTCCTACAACCTCCTCTATTATAGAAGACGCTAGGATTAGAGTAGTGAATATAAAAAATGTATAAACATATATTCCTCATAAGCTCAAATTTAGAAATAAAATAAAATAAAATACATGCAGCGCTACTAAAATCTTATTTATTAAACTTGCCAATTTTTCAATAGTTGAAGGGAGAATATCGTGTATGGGTGATTGGCTCCAAGTTTCTGTTGCCGGAATTGCACACACTCAGACATTAAACCTATAGCCTGCTCTTTATAACCTTGGGATTTCTAAGTCAATGCCAGATTCGCCATACTGGTCAGCGTGTCTGGATGCTCTTCCCCGAGCACCCTCTTGAACGTCTCCATCACTCGCACAAACAGCTCTTCCGCCTCCGTCTATCGTCCTTGATTCCTGTACGTCGACGCCAGATTCGCCATACTGGTCAGCGTGGAAGGATGCTCCTCCCCGAGCACCCTC